GTGTGCTGTGTGTGTGTGTGTGTGTGTGTGTGTGTGTGTGTGTGTGTGTGTGTGTGTTAGTTTCCATATATCTGAGAGAACATGTGATCTTCTCTTGTGTATCTGGCTTATATTGCTAACCATGACATCTTCTGACTCCACTCATTTTTCAGAAAACAGCAGGATTTCATTCTTTATGGCTAAACAATATTCCACTATGTACAACTACTTTATAGAACTGTGTCAGAGAGAATCTCTACCCAAACCTTCCCTGGCTTTCCATCTCACCCAAATCCAAAGTCCTTATTGCTGTCTAGAGTCACACATGATCTGGGCCTGAAGCACTGATGCAGTAACTTCTTCGCATTCCCCACTTACGGTTCCTGTTTCATCCACTTGGCTCTTCTTGTTGTTCCTCAAACTGAGCATGTTCCTGCTTCAGCTTCTTTGCACTTATTCTTTCATCCTGGAAAATTCTACCTTCAGGTTCACTTCTTCTTTGTCTCTCCTCCCCGCTCCCCCTTCTTCAGAAAAACTTGTTGAGAGAAAGATAGCTTCTATCTAAGACAAACAAAAGGAGGACAGGAAAATGGGTTTCCCACTCACTAAACTTCTCAAAGGTGTTTTATGGGACAAAGTCATAAGGTGAGGTGGATTCAAGGTGGGACAAAACTATAGTCAACTAGTAAGATTACAAGTACAGTTGCTTAGATCTTATTGATCCAATGAGAAATCACAAGGTGGACAAAATATGAACAACCAATAAAATGATGACAAATACAGTCACTTAAGTAATAATGATTAAATGGGGATCCAATGGGGAAACAAGTCACTTAGCAAGCAAACAAGGAATGAGCAAGGATTTTCAGTGGAAAGGGGTGGGTCAGTGAACTTTCTTGGAAGGTCTTGCTTCCCCACCCAGATGATTGATCCCTATTTAGAATATCAGTCACTGCTATTCACCCTACATGGGTGTGGTAGTTTATCTCCTTTTACAATGCTGGCCTTCAGTGAAGGTGTCTTGATTGTCCTCCCTGTTGGCTCCTTGCTGCCCTCCCTGTTGGCTCCTCAAGGGCCAGTCCTGTATAACTGCCTACAAGATATCTAATTAACTTACCTATCTATAATATTCCCCCTCCGAAGAAGTCGTCCTAACTGCTGTGAGTGGCAGAGGGTGAAGACCGTTCCGGCTACTTCAGGCTGAAGAGGGTCAGGTTCATTCTTGACCCCTCTATCTCTTTTAGGTTTCTTCTCAAGCATTACCCTATTCATCACCTTCTCTACCTTCAGTAAATCAGTGTTTGCTGCACATACTAATTTAATGTTACTTCAACCAATAAATGTCCTATCAGCATTTAAGATAGTTTGCAAATTATAACAACAAACCTATTATCTAATATTCATTGAAGTCTTCTATGCGGCATGAATTTTACTTTCCCTTGCTGGTGGCAATCCATCTTGATGTAATAGATCCCATGCAGTGGATCTTAGCTCAGAAAAAAATGTCAGACAAGAATTCTTCCTTGACCAGGAAGCCAGAAGTTACCCTTCATTCTTCTGTGTTCCTTTAGTGATCAGTTTGCAACACTTACTTTCTACTTGTGGAATTTTCTTTCAATCAGGATCTTCTCTTAAATACAATAAAATATCTGCATCAGAGAACATATATATCTAAAACAGCTGTCTACGAGACAGAGTCTATAAATCCACTGCAAATATTTAGGAAAGTTACATTTGTTCTTTCAAGTTGTATAAATCATATTGGGATCAAATTTCAGAACTGAAAATATCAGTATTTTACAGACAGGTAGAAGATGAAAATGTAAATGATAAGCTACAAAAGTCAATTAAATGCATCATTAAACAACTATAGATGTAAGGCCAAATGTTTAGAGTTATCTCCAGGTTATCACTATGATAAGCATGACATAAAGGGTTCTGGTAAGAGGTGGTTATTTCTCCTTCAATATCTATGGTAATCTTGTATTTCTTTGTGTTCTCAGTGCTGCTGTTTTACCATGTCATAGAAAACTGGTCACAAAGTATTCTTCCTATGTTGAAAGAGTAAGACTTCTGGGTTTTGCAGGGTTTTGGGGGGCTTTGAGAGTAACTCTGTATTTGAAATGATTTTTGTTGTATTGGAATTAGCTTCATTTGCTGGTTGAAAAAGAATTTGCCTTAGGCTTTTGCAAATGGTCCCCATATTGATTTAATAAAGGGACAGAGGCAAATTTAGAGCGAAAGCCTCTAATAACAGTGTGTGGTTCCCTTTGCAAGACTAGCAAGACCCTGAATAGCCAAATCCATATGAAGGATTCTATTGGTTAAATTCAGATTTTCAGTTTTTACAAGTCCATTAGATAATACTCTCAAGCAGTGGTGGTGAACTTATGGCACGTGTGCTGTAGTGAGCTATTTGTATCATTGGTTTGCCATCACTTCTCTAGAAAAGGGATATCATTTAACCAAACTATGAAATTCAGACTGAAGGTTTTCATTAAACTTTCAAAAATTTAATGGAAACTTTTAAAATGAAAGGCAAGGACTGGACTGGAGAAAATGGAAGACAAGAAAGAAAATGGGAATGAAGAAGATGATAGGCCAAAGGAAATGCAGCCATTTCTACCCCTACTGAGGGTGCGATGCTAGTATGATAGGAGACACAGTCAGCTTTTCTTCATCTGTGTTCTTCATAGCCTTTGTGGCTACATTTGCAGTTAGGATCCTGTTCTAACATGGACTTTGCTTTAGCAATTGTAGTAGTCAGTTTTCCCATCACGTACAAAATATCGGATACTTGCAATTTAAAGTAGGAAAGGTTTGTTTTTGGCTTACAGTTTCAGAGGTCACAGTCCGGGGTTTACTGGATGCAAGGCAGAAGTGAAGGGCATGATGGAGCACAGTTGCTCTCCACAGTGCCAGCAAGAGAAATACCCCCAAAGAGATGCTCCCAGCAACACATGCCCTCCAACGAGACTCCACCTTCTAACAGCACCTTAAGCTACAAACACCAGATGAGTAGAGCACTCCCCTAAATCCTCTCTTCCAGTCTCTTGCCATGTGACAATCAAGCTTAACAACCACAGCAATCCAGATGCTCCCCCTTTTGTTTCTCACAGGCTTTCTGGCTAACTCAGGGATGAGATAGGGTTGGTGGGAACAAAGCTAAAGGAAAATCATGGTCCATTAAGCTTGTAGGACTGTTTTGCTCTCTAATGATTGAAACTCCAAAGGAAAACTTTCGTCAGCCTACAATTAAAACCAACCTTATTATTGTTGCACTTTTACTTATACTTTCTATTTTGAAATACAGACGTCTAAGAAGTTCCAAATATACTGCAGAACTTCTCCATGTGAACTTCACACAATGAAACCCAATGGCATCTTCATACATAACTACAGTACACCTTCAAACTAAGAAATTGCCATTGATGTAACACTGAACCTATTTGAATTTCAACAGATTTTATAGCTACTCATGTGTGTATGTCTATATGTGTGTGTAGTTCTATGCAGTATTATATGTATGTATAGTTCTATTCCACACATATGTAGCAAAGATTCTTATAACCACTTCAGCCAAGACGCAGATCTGTCTCATATCACAAAGGAGCCTCCTGAAATCTTCCTTCATGTCTGCCCCACGGGTGACTCCTGGCAACCACCATCTGTTCCCCATCTCCATAATCTTGTAGTTTCAAGAATGTTATTTAAATACAGCCCACAGTCTGACAACACTCCTTGTCTCTTTTTCCAAAGCACAGTGTTCATAAACTTGGGAAATACTGTCTCTCTCTACCAAATGACAATAATATCAACCATATGCAGGGCACTAAATCAAGTTGGTTTTCTCCTTAATTTTCAAAATAGTCCTGTAAGGCAAATATTAGTAAATCACATCACTCATGTGTAAAAATGCTCTGAATGGCTCCCCATTTTATTTCTAGGAGCCTTAAACTTACTATGACTACAGGACCCGTTCCATTTGTTCCATCTCTTACCACCCGCCCCGCAGCTGTGGGATGGTCTTCATCTGTCCTTGAACATGCCAACATGGCAATTCCTGCCTCCAGCTCCTTACACCTGCCGTTCCTTCCTCAGGTCCTTCCATGGCCCTTCATCCTCTTGAAGTTCCAACTCAGAGTTTGTTCTCTCAGATATGCTCTTCTTGAACGCAGAAGGTAAAACAAACCAAAACGACCTTCTCCCAAACTCCTCCATAGAGTCGCCAGATTCAACAAGTAAAAGCATAAGACATTCAATCAAACTGGATTTCAGATAAACGGCTTTCGTGTAAATATGTTCCATGGAATTTATGGGGTATACTATTGTTGTGCATGTGACATTCAGATTTAACTGGGTGTCCCCCTTCTTACCCAGCGACCCTTCCTCTATAGCCACTCTGTTACTTCCCCTAGTCAGCTCCAAGAAGCTTCATGTGGGTGACGCCTGCTTTCTTGTCCACAACTATTTCCAGAGCCTATCGCGGTACCCGACACGTAGTAGGTGCACAACAAATGGGGCATACTGCTAGCCAGAAGAGACTGCGCAGACTGTATTCAGACTTTTTACCCGTGTCCAGGGGTGCCTACCTTTCTGCAGGCTCTACTATAGAAGCAAAAGACCCTGGATAGTAGATGTGGGGAGAAGCAGTCTCAAAGAGCTAAAAAGCTTTTCTTCTTTTGCCTTGCAACAAAGCAAATAGATTAGGCCAAGAAAATATGTACGTGTGCGGAAAGAATGGCCTTCTGTGCCAAATGAGACCAGTGGCTGTGCGCGCCTCTCCCATCTTCATCCTCCTCAAACTTCTTGCAACTTCAGGGCTGGCTTTACTGCCAGGCTCTGGAAGCTGCTAGATCCTGGTTATAAACAAAGTCAACAGGGGACATGCTAGGGCAGAGCGTGGACGGCTGAAGGAAGAGGAAGGCGGAAGAAATCAAACTCCTCTTGGGTTCCCGCGCGCACGAGGGGCGGGCCCAGACAGCTGTGTCGGCCTTGGATTTTGGGCGCTGGGGGTTCAGCGCTCCCCGCGGACGCTCCGCACCCTGCGGGACCCACCCGGGACTCACAATCCTCTCCGACGCGCTTCATCCGGCCTCATCTGCAGGCCGCCCAGGGC